GGGGGGGGGGTGTGAGGGTCGGGGGGGGGGGTGAGGGTGGGGAGGGTCGGGGGGGGTGTGAGGGTCGGGGGGGGGAGAGGTGAGGGCTTTATATTGCTTTAAAGACTTTGGGTTAACGAAGAAATAGCGCAAACGTTGCTGTTGGGTTAGTCTCCGGATCTGCTCTGTGTTCACACGGGGGAAGGTGGGGGGTGAACCCCTCACACCGGGACTTCACTCACTCGGGGACCGACCCTCCGATGCAGTTCTGGTCGTTCACTCCACAGCTCTTTCCGGGGACTTCACTGCGCGATCCAAAAGGACTCGGGACCTGATCACCACTGTGGCTGAAACGCGAGGACCATTGTCATTATTATTATTATTTTTATTCAAAGTCAATAAATAAAGCTTTCAGGGGTTTGGGGGCGGTTTGTCTCCGGCGGTGCTCTGCGGGACCCCCCGACCCTCTGCCCGGGGCGGCAGGAGGTCCAGGTGTCCGGGACCGCATCTGCTCCTCCCGCCCACCTCCCCCGCCCTCTCCCCGCGCCCCACTGTGCGGTGGGACAGAGACGGACACCCACTGCCACAGCACCAGGAGCCCCCGTCACGGGTGTCCGGGTGAGTGGGGTCCACTTTCCCCCGAAGGCACAGGAGCCTCTTGAAGGCTCTCCTGAAGTCGGAACTGCGGCAGTAAATGAAGGGGTTGAAGGCGGAGTTGGTGTATCCCAACCAGTTACAGAACAGAAAGAGAGGGCGCGGGACGCAGCTTTTGCAGGTCGCCTGCACGATGTTCACCAGAAAGAAGGGAAGCCACGAGAGGGTGAAGGTACCCATTATTATCCCCAAAGTCTGGAGCGCCTTCTGGTCGGTCAGAAGCAACAGTTTGGAAGTCCTCCTCTTGTTCTTTCTGTCCTCCGGAGCGCCGACCACGAAGAGTTTCTTCCTCCGCTCCATTCTCCGCAGTTGCCTCTTGGCCACACTGTAAACCTTGGAGTAGAGCAGGACCATGATGACCAGAGGGATGTAGAAGGAGATGGTGGAGGAGATGATCGCGTAGGGCCAGTTGGTCACAAAGTCACAGCAAGACGGGTCTCGGTAACACTTCTGAGCGGTGGCATCACTGTCTTCCCACCAGTGGTTCATTATGGGCAAGAAGGAGATCAGAGCCGAGATGGCCCACACCAGACACACGATAGTCCTGGCTCTGCCTTTGGTCAGCAACGATTGGTACCTCAGGGGCGACGTAATGGCGATATATCGGTCGATGGCGATAACGCACAGTGTCTCGATACTGGCAGTCACACACAACACATCCACCGAGGTCCACAGCATACAGAAGAGAGAGTCCAAGAGCCACTTATCTGTCACCATGATGGTAGCCCCCAAAGGCACCACAAAGACCCCCATGATCAGGTCAGCCCAGGCCAGGGAGGTGATGAACACATTGGTGAGGGTCTGCAGTCGGGAGTTCCTGGCGATGGCCAGGATGACCAGGACATTGCCCAACACGATGAGTAGGATGATCAGCGCAAACAGTGTGCCCAACGCACATCTGACAGCAGATCGCATCTCCTGGTCGCTCCCGTTCCCGTTGGTGGGTTCCCCAGTAACGTTTGGGGAGGTGGGAACATCCATCCTCCAGGGGGGCGAGAGAATCGGGCAGATCTCCTTCTCCTCTCCCCTCTCCCCTCTCCCCTCTCCCCGCCCTCCCCACCACCGACCCTTCAGCTCCAACTGCCCGCGAGTCGGAACACATCGCCTTCTGTATATACTCAGGTCCCGCACTGCCCACTTTTATGTTTAACGCTTTCAACCCCACATCGGAGCTGTTGTCATATTTTTTTTGGGGGGTGGGGGGAGGGCTCTCTTTCTCTCACCCCCCCACACCCCCCACACCACCCTGCATGACTGGGGCTCACTGGGGATGGGGGTGAACCTCCAGGTAAAGGTAGGACTTTCAGGGCTTTGTCTCGACTTCCAGCAGATCACATTATTATTATTAATTAGGAATTATTACAAACATATATACACATATATATGTGTGTAAATGGAAAAAAACATTGGTCGCTTCAACCCACGACTGTTTGTGGGGGACACTGCTGTGGGCAATTGGCTGCCACGTTTCGCCTACAAAATGCACAGTCACTACACTTTACAGTGTATCCTGTGAAGCGCTTTGAGACATCTCGTGATGAGGCGCTGTGTCAAACACAAGGATTATCAGTTTTATTGTTAATTATTGTTGTTGTTATCTGGAACTCTCTTTGTCGATTACGTCTGCTTGAACCTCATTTTAACTCCTCCCTTGTATAATCCCCGCATTTGATACCGCGCCTCATCACGTCTTCGAGACGTCTCAAAGCGCTTCACAGGATACACTGTAAAGTGTAGTGACTTTCTTTTACCCTTTCTGTTCAGTCGTCTTTCACCCGCAGAATACACAGTCACTACACTCTACAGTACATTCCGTGAAGTGCTTTCAGACGTTTCGAAGATGTGATAAGTTGCTTTATCAAAAGGATTATTATTGTTATAATTATCATAGAATCATAGAATCGTACAACAACAACAACAACAAGATTTCATTTATAGAGCGCCTTTCACGTCGGGAGGACGTCCCAAGGCGCTGTACAGTTGGGTCGGGACCTGAGCATTGGGGGGGAAATGGTCAGGGTGAGGGGAGGGAAGGGAGGGAGCGAGGAGGGGGGAAATGGTCAGGGTGAGGGGAGAGAAGGGAGGGAGCGAGGAGGGGGTAGAGAGTCGAGAGGGGAGCTGAAGGCTGAAGGTCAAAGAGAAAGGTCTTGAGACCGGCCTTGAAGGAGGAAAGGGAGGAAGCGGCGAAGGCACTGGGGATAGAGTTCCAGAGCCTCGGGGCTGAGAGGCTGAAGGCCATCGATGGTAGGGCGGTTGGGGCGGGGGATGTGGAGCAGACCGGAGCCAGAGGAATGGAGGGTACGGGCAGGTAAGTAGGGGGACAGTAGGTCAGAGAGGTAGGAGGGAGCGAGGCCGGGAATGGCCTTGTAGGTGAGGATGTGGATCTTGAATTCGATCCTCTGGGGGATAGGGAGCCAGTGGAGGTGAGCGAGGGCGAGGGCGCGGGCGCGGGTGAGGGCGAGGGTGAGGGCGAGGGTGAGAGTGAGGGTGAGAGTGAGAGTGAGGGTGATTTGGTCACTGGTGCGGGACAGTACACGAGCTGCAGAGTTCTGAATGACCTGCAGTGTGGAGGGAGGGCCGGGAAGGCCGACGAGGAGAGAGTTCCCATAGTCCGGCCTTGAGGTGATAAAGGTGAGGACCAGAGTTTCAGCCGCGTGAGGGGTGAGGTAGTGCCGTAGTCTGGCGATGATCCGCAGGTGATGGAAGGCGGTGCCAGTTGTGGCGCGGATATGAGGGAGAAAGGACAGCTCAGGGTCGAACAGAAGCTATAGGACAACATTAGGTATTCAAAGTGTTAAATGAGAAGCAAGAGATGGTCACATTGAATTCCAAAAGGTTTACTGGAACAGTTCCTAAGCAAAAAGACCACAAGTCACTATACGTAAACAGATGATTGTTGTCTTCGACCTCACAACTCATTACATTGGACAAGTATTGTAAATTGAAACAGTTTAAAGTCTTTACATTTTTGAATATAAAATGTGGCAATTGTCCAAACTGTGTTTGCACAACCATCGCAGAGCAGAGTGTGTGTATTCGTGTGTGTGTGTGTCTGTATCTGTGTGTGACCCCATTACTCCCACTCGCCCGACCCGATCACCCCCACCCTCGCCCGAACCCCATCACCCCCACCCTCGCCCGACCCCATCACCCCACCCTCGCCCGAACCCCATCACCCCCACCCTCGCCCGACCCCATCACCCCCACCCTCGCCCGACCCCATCACTCCCACCCTCGCCCGACCCCATCACTCCCACCCTCGCCCGACTGCACTGGCTCCCCATCCCCCAGAGGATCAAGTTCAAGATCCTCGTCCTCACCTTAAAGGCTATCCATGGCCTCGCCCCCTCCTACCTCTCTGACCTGCTGACTCCCTACCAACCTGCCCGCTCCTTCCGTTCAGCGGGCTCTGGTCTGCTCCATGTCTCCCGCCCGACCCGCCCTACCATCGGTGGCCGGACTTTCAGCCTCTCTGCCCCTACACTCTGGAACTCTATCCCACGGTCCCTTCGCCGCGCTTCCTCCCTCGCCTCCTTCAAGGCAGGTCTCAAGACCCTTCTCTTCGACCGCGCCTTTGGTCTTCCTCCCACCTCTCTGCCTTCCTTTACCCCTACACCCCTCCCCCCCCCACCTCCACCATGCTCAGGCCCCGACACCTGACTGTTCAGACCTTTGGGATGTCCTCCCCCAACGGGAAAGGCGCTTTATAAATGTAATTTTGTTGTTGTTGTGTGTGTATCTGTGTGTTCTGTCTGTATCTGTGTGTGTGTCTGTCTGTGTATGTCTGTATCTGTGCGGGTGCGCGCGAGTGTGTGTCTGTATCTTTGTGTGTGTGACCTTCTGTATCTGTGTGTGTGTGTGTCAGGGTGAGGGGGCTGTTGGGGGGCTGCATTCTATTAAGCAATGGTTTCTAAAACTCCACTGGAATGTTAACTTGGTTTTAATGATCAGCAGCTGTTGGCAGTAAAAAATTAAAATGTTTTGTCATTTTATCTCTTATTGCCCAATGTGCTGGAAGATATAGCCTTGCAAACCTGTCCTCCCCAAATAATCATCTGTGTTGATTTTTAAAACCGGGTCTTTTGTGAGGGTGTTGTGCAAAACAAGACGACGTAAATATTTATTGTAGTGTTGATACTAATGCCTTGCCTTTGATATAATGCCTTATCAGGTCTTCTTGTAAAAGAGGGAAGAAATGTACAATCAGAACCAAATTACCTGCCAAGTGAATCTACATAGGTTAAGATTTAATTGATATATTTCATTGATTTAATTGATTCCCTGTCACAGAGCAGATTGATTTCAACATCCTCACGCTTGTACTTAAATCCCTTCACACCCTGACACCCCACCACCAACCCGGCTCTCTCTCTCTCTCTACACCACTACCCACTGCCTCCACTCAACTGGCTCTGGCCTCCTCCTTGTCCCCCAGACCCTCCACCCCAGCATCGGCAGCCGTGCTTTCAGTCACTACTCCCCGAAGCTGTGGAACTCTCTCCCTCAATCCCTCCGCCTTTCCCCCCCATCTGCTTTTTTTCTCCTTTTTCAGGTCGTGCTTGAAGATCATCCTCTTCGGCCGGACCTTCAGTCACCTCTCCCCACTTCCCGCTGGCTCAGCAAGTTGTTGTTGTTTAATCACTAACGCTGAATGTGCATCATGCGATGAAATCAGGTCACCATTTTCTCCACCAGAAATTCCACGTGGATCCAGATTCATTCTCTATTTAAGCAGAGTTCCAGGGCAGCTAGAAATCTGGCAGTCGATCGAATTCAGCCTCAACTTTCAAGCTGTTCGTTCTGTAGTTTCTTGAAAGAAAACCGACTTCAAAAACCAAGGCTGTGTCTAAGAATTTGGCAAATTTCTAGGTGCTCAAAGAACTTGGGTGCGTCATCGATCTAAACCTGCGAAGAATTGTGTGTAAACTTATGCTGTTTTGCCAACTCCCTGTCAACTCTTCTCCACAGTCTGCGTTCAATTTCATCCTGTGAAACCAGAAATAATAATAATAACAATAGCAATCCTTGTGTTTGATACAGGGCCTTATCGTGTTTTCGAGACGTCTCAAAGTGCTTCACAGGATACACTGTAAGTGAATTGACTGTATTTTGTGGGCAAAACGCGGCAGCCAATTGCGCGCAGCAGCGTCCCCACAAACAGTCGTGGATTGAGTGACCAAATTATGTAGAGTGGAGCAAGACCGTGGAGGGCTTTAAAGGCAAGGAGAGCCGGGCAAAGATGGGGGAGCTTGGTGGTGACAAGGGGTTGCTGGAGAAATTAGGGCTTTTCCTGTTATTCCAATAACAAACAACTTGCAAATGTCCTTCCCCCCCCCCTGCGCAGGGCGGTGTTCCAGAGCGCTAGACAGTGGCGGAGCACGATGTCGAGCCAGTGGAAGTGGGGAGGTGACCATAGACACGGTCGAATAGGAAGGTCTTCATGCACAATCTAAAGATGGGGAAGGAAGGAGGGGGCGAGGCGGAGGGATAGGGGGAGAGAGTGACAGAGTTTCTGGGCTCAGCGGCTGAAAGCGAGGCCACCGATGATGGAACAGAGGAGGGCACGAGGGACAAGCAGGAGGCCTGAGCCAGCTGGGAGGAGGCAGCGGGTAGTGGGTTGGGTTGGGTGGGGTAAGCGAGCAGGTGGGAGAGGTGGGGAAGGAACAGGGCGTGAAAGCATTTGAAGATGAGTGAGAGGATCTTGAACTCGAGAAGATGGCAGAGAAGATTGAGGGAGGGATTACAATCGAGATAATGAGAGGTTTTTACTACATTAAACCATTTCCTTTGGTAAGTGATTCAAGTGAAAAATTATGACTCCGAACTTGAAGGGGAAGTTGGGTGGAATATTTTCTTCCCAGTGGATTGTCAGAGTGTTGAGTGAGCAGAGGGCTGGGATTAGCTTCAATGTAGAAGTGAATGCTGACACTAACATAATTGACCTCCCGTTGGGAAATTCCTATGGATCTATAGATGGGAGTGAGGTGTTAATAGATTGAGACATCCTGTGCTACTGAGTGTTGCAT